CGTCCGGGCACGAAATATTAAAATTTGGCGGGGAAATTAATATTAATAAATAATTTTGAAAATAATTTGTGAGTCGCCATCGGCCTTTTTGGATCAGGTAGGTCGAATACCTAAAAATTATTTTTTTAAAGAGTTTTAAGAAAAATCAATTAAAAATTGAACTGATCTGCGTTTTATAACCAAAAATTCATTCTTTTTAATAAAAAGGGATTCGTGGTCGGTTACGTTTAGGGAAGGATTAGCACCCCTACAACGCCCAAGATTGGTACTTTTTAATTATAAATTGTCTCTATTATTAAAAATTTAAAAATTTAAAAATATATTTAATTTATAATCTTATAATTTCAAAATAAAAAAATATTATTTAAAATATCCGAAAAGAACTTCTAGGTGCCTTAAGACAGCTCTTTTCTTTGATATTGATAAATTGATTTAAATAATATTGTTTAATTTTTAATTTTTTAAAATATCAGAATAGGACATCCAGTTGTATTAAGACTGTCCTTTTCTTCATTATTAAAAATAAATAATATTTAAAAAATTACTATTTATTATATATTTTATGAATATATATAAAAATATTTAACAATAATAAAAGAAAAATACTACTAAAATAATATAAAAAACAATAAAATAAATGAAAACATATAAAATAACTGACTAAATTATAGTAAAATAAAATCAAAAATCTAATTCATAATTAATCAAAATATAAGGATTAAATATGTTATTTCCTTATTTAATAATTTAGTGACTAAAATAAAACTATCTAAAATTCGGATATTTAATAAAATAAATTAAAATATAAACTAAGGATTAAATATTATTTATCAAATTAAAGGACTAAATATGAAATTTATCTTAAATATATTTAATACGGTTAATGGCTAAATATAAATAAATAAAATGTAGAGACCAAATTAAAAGAATCAAAAATTTGATTCAATGACTAAAAGGTAAAGATTACAAACTAGAGGGATGACGGACGAGGTTAATTTTTATTAATTACGGACAGATCCCTCCCCAAAACGGCGTCGTTTGGGGAGGGCTATTTAAGCCCATTCATAGCTGGCCCGAAGGGCCAGCAGCTCATTCCTTTCTTCTTCTTTTCTCTCAAAAACGAGAGAAGAAGCTCTCTCTTCCTTCTCTCTAGCTTCCTCATCGGAGGGAAGCTGGTTATCGGTCAGCCACCGTGGGCCGCCGTTAGCCACCGTCAAAACCACCGCCGGCCACCATATCCGGTGGCCGGAAATTACAAATCCCACCCCAAATTAAAGCCTGGTTTTCCCTAAAGCTAGATCCGTAGGTTTTTTAGCCTAAAATACTACTGAAATGCGTAGATCTAAAGTTTATACCTTCGACCTTTGACTTTCCGATGGCTCCAAAAAGGCTCTGATGATCAACGGTTCCCTCGGTAAGTTTCTTTTCTTCCTTTTTCCTTTTGTTTTTGCTCTGTTGTTGTGGACGGGATCGTTGGTAGCTGTTGTTTCTCTGTTTTTTTTTTTTGGTTCTATTTCTCTCTTTTTTTTTTCTGTTTCTGTGTCTCGTTCTGTCTCTGTTTTTGTCTCGCAGGTGGGTGGTGGCTTTTATAGCCACCACCGGTGCGGTCATCGGACCGGTCCGAAGAGAGGGCTTCGGTGAGTCAAGGACTACCAGTGGTGACTCACCTCGTAGCCTTGGCGTGGACGGCCGTGTTGATCTTCTGGAGCCTTCATTCGGGACGTGGCAGCGGCGGAGGCGTCGGCAGTGGGCCATTGGACCACTTGGCAGTGCGGCGGCTGGGATTCTGGAAGCTTCAGAGGCGGCTGGGTGTGGCTAGGGTTTAGAAACCCTAGCTGAAACCTTACTAATTGTTTAGGGTTTCTGGTTGGCTGGACCGGTTCTAGTTGGCTTGTAACTGGGCCGGTCCAGTTGTAATTATTTATTAATATAATAATAATATAATAATAATAATACTAATAATAATAATATTAATAATAATGATATGGATAAAAAATTAATATCTTCAGCTACCAAGATGACTATTTGAACCGATGGTCTAGATGCTTTACTGTTGTTAGTTTTTGGTACTTCCGATGTATCTTTTGGATGAATGCATTACCATTTTATCATTCTAAAAATCCGCATAACGCGATATATCGATTTGGTTAGACTTTAGCCCTTTAATTTTATTAGTAGAGTAAGTTGTGAAAGTTTGTATATCGGTGGTCCAAGTTACCTCTGACTGTCCATTTCTATGCTACATTTTCTTTCAAGTTCTTAGGATGCAAGTAATTGGTACTTTATAAAAGCATACAATCTTAGCATCAACTACTTAGCCAGCAATTGCTTGACAATAACATGCATAACTCAAAGCAAAGAAGCAATTCTAGAGTTTTTTCTTTTTTCAATATAGAAGGTAATAGAGGTTGCGTATTTACTGCTGCAGTAAATTGGTAAAATTTCATGCATCATTTACACATGCATACCCCACCATTCAATTGCACATGAACTCAATCGAACAGTAACAATTAATTTTCACTGAATACAACTCAATCAAAACATCAAAAAAAAAATAAAAATAAATTATAAATATTGGTTAACATGAAATCTTGGTTAACTCAATATTATTTGAAGTATTTTAGAATTTGGGGTTTAGAATGTAATTGAATTATTTGGAATTTGGGGTTTAGAATGAAATGAGGATGTTTTACAAGTTTTAAAAGTTAGGGGACCTAAATGAAAGAGTCTAAAAAGTTCAGTGATCATTTATATAATTTACCCTAATTTTCACTACCATGTCAGCCTCTTCTAATGGCAATGTAACGTCAGGGACCGTAGTGCAAACAGACTAAATGTTGGGGGACTGTATTGCAAGTTTTAAAATTTAGGGGACCTAAATGAAAGCTTCAGAAAAGTTCAGTGACCATTACTATACTTTACCCAATTATTTATTTGTTTTATTAAAGGTCTAATTATACGTTTAATTTCTCTACTATGCTGAAAATGAGGTTTAATACCTTTAATATAACATTGTTTGATTAAATGCTGCGATTTGGACCTACACAAAGCAGGATAATAAAAGTATTTTTACTACTCGATCAATTAATGAATCTCACTTTGATCTTTTCTTTTATATATTATTTGTAGATCCAAATCGACAATAACATCAATCATTTTTTACTAATAATGATATAAAATTATTTTTCAAAATAACCTTAAGAATGTGTGTTCTAATTATATGATTGAATAACAATAAAAGGTAATATTTTTCATGTACCATCATTAAATAATATTTAATTGATAATTTAATTATTTTTTTATTGAAATTTATAAAAAAAAATTCTTTTTCTTTTGAATTTATTTAAATGAAATAATTTTTTAAATTACAAAGTTTGTATAAATTAGAAATGTTTTAAATGTAAAATCTCTTAAGATGGGGATCTTCCACTCATGTCCTCTAATTTGTATGCACGAAAGATGATCTTCTCAGTGAATTTGCATGGTCCTGCCCAGTTATATGACGTCTTCTCTCTACGACTTGCTAGTAAGTTGGCTTCTGTATTTCACATGATTAGATCTCTAATTTGGTGCTAGTTGTTGCAGACTTTGGGGTTGTAGTATTTGGTCACTTGTTTTTTTTTAAGGTAAATAAGGCCTAGTTAAAAAATCTCTCATAACTCGATCAAGAAGCGGAAGAGTAAAAGAGTGCCCAAAACTAGAATTAAAGAAGCCATACGGCAATGATACAAAGCATCCGATACAAATGGTCAACGACAAAGACTAAACCTATGAACATGTTCCTAAAGAGATTTGTAAATACAAGTAAACAGTAAAGCAATATGGACCAAACTTTCAACAATAAACCCTCCAAATATGAAATGACAAGCAAACAGTAAAATTGTAACCGAATTGAGAGCCCCAAATTGCTAAGGAGATCAAGACCAAGGCGGAGGGGACCCGTTTATAAACATTAAAAGCTTCCGTCTTGAATCCAAACAAAAACCGCTTCCCTGTCTTGTAGAGTGAAGAAAAGATTCGATCAACCAGTAGAAAAAAGCCAAAACAACCATTAGGAACAAAGAGAAACAAAACCTCTTGAAGCAATGTAATCAACTAATGCCAGCCTTGGCAAGGATCAATATTTCAGTGTCTTGGGACAAAACGGATAAAATAACCTTTGCTTCTGACACGATCGGAGATTCCACGAGCCAAATCAACGAAACAAACAGGAATAGATGAAGGGGAAAATATCTAGTCGATAGCAGTTTGGCAGTCGTTCTCGATGATCAACCTGAAGGAACTCGGCCAGGGTGAAGAGATGAAAGCAGAAAAAGCATGGTCGATGGCCTTGAGTTCAGACAAGATAGTAGGACGGTACCCGATACTTTCTGAGAAGCTGAATAAAATAGAACCATTGTTATCTCGGAGGAGACCACCAATCCCTCCAGCGTTTCTATTAATAGAACCATTATTTGGTCACTTGTTGATTTATGGTTACTAATCTTTTCTTCTTCTTCTCTAGTTTCCTCCAAAAGATCGAGGTTGGACTGGAGCATCTCCTCATTGTTGTCTAAATTGAAATGAGAGGTATGAAAAGAATTAACTCCCACCTCCGTTGAGATAACTGCTTTAGAACCAAACAACATGTTGAAAGATGTTTCCTCACTACTTGTGTGGAAAGTGGTTAGGAGAGCGCAAAGAATGCATGTAGTTCTTTCAACCATGTTCCTCCAACGTCACCAACTTTTCTTTTGAGTGTAGTGAGAATAATCTTGTCGGTTGCTTCTGCTTGACCTTTTACTCTACGAAGTTTTGATGGATCTCTTTGAAGAGATAAAAATGATAATATTTCAAACAAAACTCTCCACTGTTCTGGGTGATTGTAGCCTTAGAAAGCATCCATGGAGCTTATATATTTGTGCCCAATTGTGGAGTGTACTAATATGTCGATGGAGAGGATCGGGACAGGAAACCTTCCTTTAGACAAGTTTTTTTTAGGTCTGTGAAATCAATACACATACTCTAATTTTCATTTTCCTTATTAATCATGACCACATTAAAGATCCACTCCAGATATGTCACCTCTCAAATGAAGCCTGGTGTTAAGGTTTTGGTTGTTTCTTCCCTTGTGATCAACATTCTCAATCTTTACCTTGCAGCAACAGAAGCGATAGAGAAATGAGTCATAACTCTGAAAGGTATGTGGATCATCTAGTACTTCTCCCTCTTATACCCCGCCACCTTCTCAAGTGGCTCTGACTCGGCAACCTACTCCCCATGTGGCTCATACTCATCAACCTCATCTCTAGATGGTTCTCACTCATCAACCTTCGTCTAGTGCAGAATCACTCAGCCAAGAGGTATCTTAAAAACTTACATTAGATCATATGGATGTAACGACGGCATCTCATTTTCCTTTGTCATCGACAAAGGTGATTAGTTTCTCAAGGTCAGGTTACGGTATTTTAGTACAAAATATTGTATATAAGAGATTGATGGTATTTGTCTACTCAATTGATTAAAAATATTAGTGCTTCTATTGATCTGCATCGATTCAAAAGTTTGAACAAATGGTGTGTTAGAGGTATGTTGAGAGATCTGTGAGGATCGTAGATGAGATTCTCTATTTGTCTGTTGGTGTTTCTTCATGTACCCTTCTCATTGGGAGTAAGAAATTTCACCGTTAAACTGAAAGTGGCTAATATCAATTTGGCTTTCCTCATCGAAGGTCTTTCAGAGATTGCATTACAAATAGACGGTTGGTCTACCGTAAAGAACTCTGTATTGATTATGATAATATTTCTAAGGTAATAGGAATCACAATGGATCCCTTAACCTTTATTAGATAGTTGAAGAAGCCATAAATAGATTCACATTGGTTTAGTTGCTTTTAAAACCCTTCCATCTTTTTGGAGGAATTTCCATTAGAAGACCTCTATTGCACTTTCAGTGTCTTTTGGACAATAATATTGTTGATACAGGTTGAAACCATCGAGGGATCATCAACGATCTCATCAATAACTTAGGAAGAGTATAAGCCCTCAAAACTAACCCATCAATCTTCTGCAAGTTTGACTTCTTTCATAATTGTATATAGACATACACTCCAGGTATGTGATCTTATCGAACGTGTAAGTTGGGATTCCCATATGATCACATTAACAACCCCTCGAACAAGCCTTTTCATGTGCCACTACTTAATTCTTGTTTTGTTATATTCGCATACACAAACTATTCTACTAGCCATTTTCTAGCTGATTCCTCTTAATATCTTTATTAAAGGATAACAACATGCATAATGATCACCTATAAAATAAACATCAAGATTTTACATGTAAAATTCTTTTGGGAAAAACCACAAGTAGAAGAGAAAATTCACTAATGTTAAGAGAAGAAGAATACAAGAGAAGTCCTCATGGACAACCTAATCTCTAACCTTAATCCTTAGTATCTATTTATAGAGATAAATACTTGATTACAAAGTAAACTTATAAAGTAGAAATATACTTAAAGTAGGTTTTCTACATAAAAGAAAAAAAAAATTATACTTCTAACCAAATTAGATCTCTTATTTTTTTCAAATTTATATATTAATTAATATGTGTCACTTTGAATTCGAATCAAACTCTAACAACCTTTAAAGTTCACACATCACTCAATATTATACACTCTCTGTTTACGATACGTCTAGTAAAGATTGGTGTCCCATCAATAGTTTGGCATCATAAGCAGAGGAGGTTTTAGAATATTGAAATCCCCAACTTGGCATAAGATCTCAAATAAAGATATGTTGACGGGTGTATAGTTGGTGTAAGCTTTTTGTATGGTCTCTTTTGTGGTTGGTCAACTACATTAACATGTCGACAATAGTTTGACATGTTTTTTTATCTCCTCTATTGTCAGAAGAGGAGTAGCTTATAGAACCTCGGTTGGGGCCTTGATGTTTCGATCCATTGGTTCTATGAGGTAGACTATTGGTGAGTTAAACTCTGACTGATGCTTTCTACATATCTTATCTCCTCCGTTTCACCGTATCTACTAGCTACCTCATATAGATAATTGATCTTGTTGCTTTTCATCATGACATACTTCAAAGGTTGTGTCTAAGTAAAAAGATATATATATATATACAAGAAGATTACCCAATCATTTGAAGGATTATGAATATTGTGCGTTGCTCTAGAGGATCTCCTCATATAATCTCTTAAAGATTCATTCAGCTTCTAGACCACACTAGGCAAGTTAGTCTTTGAGTGCATGATGGCTTTATTGGTTCAAACATACAAAACATATATGTTAAAACTGTTTAAAATCTCTCACAATTATTGCGGTTAAAGAGTCGTACCAATTCTTGGTTCATCTCATAAGAGTTTTTGGGAAGACTGTTATGTATGGCTCATAAAAAGTCTCGTTGTGGGGTTACGAATTATGTGGGTTGGGGGTGTGGGGGCGCAGCCCCCGCGGTACGGTACAGGGTTGATTTTGTAATTATGTACCAGGGTTTTCTATTATAAATAGAGATGTAACCTAGACCTAAAAGATCATTGAACAGTAGACTTCCAGCAAATAGGCCCTCCACCAAGAGTAAACACATACCCTGTCGTAGATCTTCTATTATCCAAGTCACCTGCATAATCTGAATCCACATATCCTACAACCAAAGGATAATCCCGCTGACTCCCAAAAACAATTCCATGTCCCACAGTACCCTTTAAGTACCATTTTCGTTTTCATGATGCCGTTACTAGTCAGGAAAACGACAAGTGGATGGCAGCCATGGTTGAGGAGATGGAGTCTTTGAATCACAATCGCACATGGGAGTTAGTTCCCCTTCCTGAGGGTAAGAAGCCGATTGGTTGCAAATGGGTGTATAAGAAGAAACTAGCATTAACAGAAAAAGAGGGGGAGAAGTTCAAGGCTCGTTTGGTAGCGAAGGGTTTTTCACAGCAGAAAGGAGTTGATTATGATGAAATCTTTTCTCCTGTGGTCAGGCACACTTCAATCCGAGCAGTACTTGCATTGGTGGCTAGTTGGGATTTGCATTTAGAGCAGATGGATGTTAAAACTGCTTTTTTGCATGGTGATTTAGAGGAGCAGATCTACATGCGGCAACTGAAGGTTTCACTCAACCTGGAAACGAGCATTTAGTTTGCAGATTGAAGAAATCTTTGTACGGTTAAACAGTCTCCGAGACAGTGGTATAAACGGTTTGACTCCTATATGATCAAGATGGCTACAACCGATGTGAGTATGATTGTTGTGTCTATGTTAAGAGCCTAGATGATGGTTCTTTTATTTTTCTATTACTGTATGTTGATGATATGTTGATTGCTGCGAAGAACATGGATGATGTTATCGGTTTGAAAACTTTATTGAGTCAGGAATTTGATATGAAAGTTTAGGTGTTGCAAAGAAAATTCTTGGAATGGAAATTTGCAGGGACAGAGACTCAAGGAAACTGCGGCTATCTCAACGGGGTTATGTTGAGAAAATGCTAGAAAGGTTTGCGATGAACAGCGCGAAACCAGTTAGCACTCCATTGGCGAATCACTTAAGCTCTCATCAGAACAGTGCCCTAAGACAGATAAGGAAGCTGAAAATATGGCAAGGTTCCGTATTCTAATGCTGTTGGCTGCTGATGTATGCGATGGTATGTACTCGTCCTGATTTAGCTCATGCTGTTAGTCAAGTTTGTAAGTACATGTCTAAACCTGGTAAGCAACATTGGGATGCAGTCAAGTGGATCTTTCGGTACTTAAAGGGTACTGTGGGACATGGAATTGTTTTTGGGAGTCAGCGGGATAATCCTTTGGTTGTAGGATATGTGGATTAGATTATGCAGGTGACTTGGATAATAGAAGATCTACGACAGGGTATGTGTTTACTCTTGGTGGAGGGCCTATTTGTGGAAGTCTACTGTTCAATCTGTCGTGGCATCTACAACTGAAGCTGAATACATGGCAGCGGCTGAAGCTGCAAAAGAAGCTTTATGGCTTACTGGTTTAGGAAGGAGTGGGTGTTCAACAAGGTGGAGTTCAGTTGCTTTGTGATAATCAAAGTGCTATTCACTTGGCTAAGAATCAGGGTATCGTGCTAGAACTAAACATATTGATGTAAGGTTCCACAAGATCAGAGTTGGTTGCATCTGGAGAGGTTTGTTTCAGAAGGTACATACTGATGAGAATGCCGCTGATATGTTCACCAAGCAGTTACGACAGACAAGTTCAAGCATTGCTTGGACTTGTTGAATGTTTCGAGTTGTTAAAGAAGCAAGGTAACCCAACCCACATTGAAGTTTCCAAGGGGCAGGATATTCGCCAAGGTGGAGATTTGTTATGTATGGCTCATAAAAAGTCTCGTGTGGGGTTACGAATTATGTGGGTTGGGGGGTGTGGGGGCGCAGCCCCCGCGGTACGGTACAGGGTTGATTTTGTAATTATGTACCAGGGTTTTTATTATAAATAGAGATGTAACCTAGACCTAAAAGATCATGAATAAAACTTCTAGCGCCGCCTAGGCACCGAGGACGTAAGACATTGCCGAACCTCGTAAATTCTCGTGTTCTTCGTTTTCTTTACCGTTTTCGTCAACAATTGGTATCAGATGTCAGGAGCAAAATTCGAAGTCGCGAAATTCGATGGTCAGGGTAACTTCGGATTATGGCAAACGAGGGTGAAGGATCTATTGGCGCAGCAAGGGATCTTGAAGGCTTTGCGACCTACAAAGCCGGCGTCGATGGATGAGGAAGATTGGGAAGAATTGCAGCAGCGAGGCAGGAACCATACGATTATGCTTGGCGGACGAGGTCATGTATCACGTCATGCATCTATGTCTCCAGACGAAATTTGGAGGAAGTTGGAAAGTCAGTTTATGTCCAAATCCTTAACGACAAAAACTGTATCGAAGCAGCGGCTGTATGGGCTGAAGATGCAGGACGATCACGATTTGGCGCAACACGTGAATGTCTTCAATCAAAATCGTTTCTGATCTGGCTCGGCTTGATGTGAAAATTGAGGATGAAGACAGAGCGATGATTCTGTTGTGTTCGTTGCCTTCCTCTTACGAACATGGGACTACTCTTACATATGGGAAAGTGACTATCAACGTTGAGGAGATTACTGCAGCCTTGTTGGCTCACAACCAGCGGAAACAGAATGCAGGGGAAAGCTCTCAAGCCGATAGCTTATATGTCAAGGGTAATCGAGATCTTGGACGGAAGCCAGAGAAGGCAGGGTCCGGGAAGCGGAATTCCAGATCCAAATCCAGGGATAAGAAGACAATTCACTGTTACAAGTGCAAGGAGGCGGGACATATGAAGCGAGACTGTCGAAGTTGAAAAAGCAGACCGATGAGAAGCGTGATGGCTCATCCAAGTCTGTGAACGTGGTCGAGGATACTTCTGATTGCAGTGAGGGTGATGCTTCTATTTCAACGACACAATTGACGGATGCTTGGATTCTTGATTCTGGATGTTCTTATCACATCACGCCAAATAGGGAATGGTTTCGACATACAGGTCGGTTAATTCTGGTTCGGTTATTTGGGTGATGATCGATGTTGCAATATTGTTGGTATTGGTGATGTCAGAATTAAGATGCACGATGGCTCCGTTCGGACGTTGAGTGGTGTTCGACATATCCCAGACTTGAAGAAGAATTTGATTTCCTGGGCACTTTGCACAAGAATGGTTTTATCCCTAAGGCTGACGAGGATAGGAAACCATTCGGATTGTTTAAAGGAGCATTGACTGTGATGAAGGCAAGATGACAGGGAATATCTACAGATTGTTAGGGAGTACCGTTGCAGGTGGAGTTCACTCTGTTGAGTCCTGTGATGATACGACAAAATTGTGGCATATGCGCCTTGCTCATCTTAGTGAACGTGGGATGGCAGAATTACACAA